CTTCGCACAGCAGGTGTTAGAGCGTAGGGAAAGTTGTTAACATATTCAGGATAGGAGTTCCCTGGCTAAATAAGGGAAATCTGATAGCACGCGCATTTACTTTTAGGCAACAGACATCTGAGGTGTTACGCCAGCCTAGATACATGAAAGAACAATGATTAATTAAACAAGGATTACTGCTGTTTATACGTACTTTAACACATTTTGCCTTAGGCAATAGACATCTAAGGGGCAACGCCAGTCTAGATACACACACGACAGTATCAATTAATTGAACAAGGATTATCGCCGTATATACGTGTAACGTACTTTAACAACAATAGCCATTAAAGCTCCTGTAGACTGTTAGGCTTTCCTGTAGGCTACACGAAGTCGCGCATGCATATTAGCCAGTGAAAAGAGGCCAACAGGGGGCAGGCAGGTACGTGGCTTAGCTTTTGGCTGGCGTTCTCGGCCTCTCATTAGCCAGTTCTACGCTCCCTTTAACATCTCGCAGCGAAGACACCATGAACACAAATTTGCATGAAGCCTGCAAACGCACTTTACATCATTTCGCGAATAAAGACAGGGAAGTATAAAAATAGCGACGCAAGGTCTAGAGTGTATACCTAAAGAATTACCAGTCTATCCTACAAGTATCTACAAACTCACGGAACTATCTCAGAGAGAATCACTGAAAGCCGTCATTGAATTGTCGGGGGCGGCGTCGGGGCCTTCTTCGGCCTGGGCGGCTTCACCTCTGGCGGCGGCGGAGCAGCCTTTGCGGCTTCGGGTTGCGGCGCAGGCTTGACAGGCACCGGAGCGGGCATTGTCGGAGCAAGTGCCGGTGCCGGAGCCGCCTCTGGCGCTCTAGCTTCCACCGTGCTAATTGGCTGTTCGGGAGTGAAGTTTGGCGGTTCAGATTCTATTGTGGTCTTTGCCAGTTCCGGGGTAAACCTTGGCGCTTCGGGCTCCGGCGCCGTCTTTGATGGCTCCGAGGCGGCCTCATCATGCTTTAGCAGTGGCTCGGCCTTCTTCAGGTCCTCGCCCCACACCTCCTTGACCAACCCCCAGTACCTCGGCGGGTTCAGCTTTGAGTGCGCGACGTGCTGGCTCCCCTCAAACCTCTCCGTCCTGACCTTGAAGCCAACCTGCCTAGACTCCTCGGCGTGTTTTTCAACGTCGGTCCAGTGGATCATCCGGTCCTCTTTGCTGTACAGGTAGGCCCGCCGCTTCTCGCTCGCCAGCAGCGCCTTCTGCCTCAGAGTGGCCCACATCTTGCCAAAGAAGCCGCGCCGCCCGAAGGGAACGTGGAGCAACCAGAACAAGCCGATGAAGACGTGCGCTAGGGGCGCGAGGACCCTCGGCATCGACGCCGAGAGGGCGCGGTAGCTGCGCATCCAGTGGAACCCCCCGGGCAGGAGTCGTACAGCGTGACGTGCGGGGGCAGCGCCAGGCGGCCGGCGCGGTCGGCGTCGGCGTACATGTCGAGGAACTTTGCAAAGTTGGTGGCGCCGCCGTTGGAGAAGACGTGGAGCAGCAGCTGGGGCCGGGCCTCGGAGGGCGGGGTGGAGTCGGCCAGGGCCCGGATAACCGGAACGGCCGGCTTGATCTCGCGCTTGGAGATGCGGGCGGAGAGGGTGTGAATGAAGGGGCACTTGACGAGGAGGATGCTGGCGGAGGGGTAAAGGGCCATGTAGCGCGACGTGTACTTTGCAATGTGGTTGTCCTGGGCCGACATCCAGCTGAAGATAGCGATGAGTTTGGGCGAGTTCGGGTCCAGCACCGCCGAGGGCGGGTTGTACAGGAATGTCGTCGGCGAGAGCTCCTGCATGGCGGGCAGGGGCCCGGACGCGTCGGCGGGCTGGTTTGATGCCATGGTGAACTTTTTCTATTCTTTTTTGGTTTGGCGTGTGATGTGCCCAAAGAAAGCTTCTTACACGTGTAGGATCTGTCAAAGAAAACTTTCAGGTGAATCTCGCTGGTGGGTTGCAGTGCCAATAGCCGACGAGGGAGGGAGTGAATGGGGAGAGGTGAGTGAGGCCGAGAATGAAGTAGTGGGAAACAGTTGGGAGGACAGGTAACCGAGGAGCTTTGCTTGCTTAGGCCGTGCATCCTCAGCCCTATTTGTAGGTCTTGTCGTCATCATGTCAAGGTTAGCTGGGTTTCCCTTTCAGGAAGTGCCTCGGTTTCAGTCGCTGATGCACCGTGCACCGCTACCTCAACCGCATCTTGAAGAATCCCTAGACTTCCTATCAGTTTCTTGGCTGAATTGTGTTGTGTTAGAAGAGCTTGTTGAAGAGGGGCCGCTGACTACGGAGTGATGCAGGAACAACAAAGCCAACGGGCCGGCGGTGGGATTACGGCTCCGATTCTTGGCGGCAAGCCAGCCACGTTTTCACGGCTGGAATTGTCAGCACTTCTTTGTCTGCTCAAGTCTCGTAAGCTGGGATACCAAACCAGTGGCCTTTTATCCTGCTGATGAGAGTTTCAACCCACTGTCGACAGCTTCCACTCTCTGCATATACAGTCCGTCGTGGTGACAGCCGTAACATCCAGGCTTATCTCTCGTACCAGGCAAGGGGCTCGTCAACCCAGAACCGCCTGTCACCGTTCATTCGGCTGGGAGGAAGTACCATTGGTGGCAGCGGCAGCGAGTCACAACGGTTGGCCACCTAGGCACAGCATAGGCAACACATACGGGCTAGGAAATTTGCGTGGCAGGTTGCCAAAAGCCCTCGAGACCACTTCAAGGAAGACTCCCTCGGCGGTAGCTGGCTTGGAGGTGTTTGCCTGATGAAATAGCCGGTTTCCGGATGAACGTGTCTTGTGCCACCCGTACCTGGAACGACACATGGGACGACGGCTGCAGGCGTCCGTGGGAGACTCCTGTCAGCTTGTAAAAGTCTGGCAGTTTGCAGATACGGCGACTCCGTAATAACTTTAGTCAGAGACATGGATGAAGAAGTGAGGTTTCCAATTCCCCCTATTTCGAAAATATGCTGCCCGCATCAGTATATCACAAACCAGAGACTGAGTTGACGGTACTTGTACGCCAGGGAAATTTCCCCTCATTGCAGCCTGAGCCCGCCTGGAAAGTCGAGTCGTTGCAGGACGTAGGACGCGACGGGAAGACGTCGTATCAGAAAAGGCAGTATACCCGACGTAGGTATCTTGACAATGATTGAGCTTCACTCGGTCCCCCGCCATGCGCAAAGGCCGGAAGAGTAGCCATGTCCAAACCGGAGAACACCAACGGACCGAAAGAGACTCGTACCTTCTGAACTGTATACTCAGTCAAAGACCCGGCAGGCTCTTTCCGTGAGTGTGAGGTTCGCAAACACAGAAGCAGAAGCGACGGCCCGGATAAACGAGATTGACGGCAGCTTCCCTTCTTGTCTACGAGGGCGCCTACCTCCTTCTCCTTCCAGCTCTTGCCCAAGGAGATGGATGAGGTACGTAGACAACACATGTCATCCTTGAGCCACATATTCTCTTAAGGGAAGCCGCGAATGAAAGTCAAGAGCTACCTACCTACTAGGAAGGGTCGACCTGTCTCGACGGCAACCCGCTGCTCCTTCCTCTCGGCATCGTGCGTCTGTCACAGACGACCATTGCCCCTTCTTCGGCTCTTCATCTTCCCTACTCGTTCTCACCTTTCTCTAATCTTCTTTTTGCAAACATCTCGAAATTGACCCCCCTTTCTTTTCCCCCTCTTAACCCGAGGCAGAAGCTACACCTTGCCTTTCCTGCTCTCCCTCCTACTCCATCAATCGCTCCTTTTCAACTACACTCGTTCCATCTTCAATTTCGACAGCGCAACATGAAGATTGCCATACTTGTCTCATCACTGCTGGGCTTCGGCTCGCTGTCGGCTAGTGTCGCCTTGGCCAAAGATAGACATCGCATCGGCGTCGAGATCAAGAGCCCTCTCAAAGGCGTCAACTTTCAGCGTATCAAAGCCTTCCGTGAGGCTGCTCCTGATGAGGTCTCTGGCCGCGTTCAGGCCCTCAAGCCATTCCGTATCAAAATTGATGGCCGCAATGCCGCCACTGCCCTTGGAGCAGCCCAGCCACGAGGTCTCTCGGCCGCTTATCAGAACATCACGGCTCTCTCCCCTTATGGGACCCAGTACGCTGTCGAGGTCACCTGGGACGGTCAGCCCGTCAATATGATACTCGATACCGGCAGCAGTGATACTTGGGTCACTGCTTCCAACTTCACCTGCACCAACTTGGCCGGCACAGCAGCCTACTCCCAGGAGGCCTGTGGCTTTGGCCCGAGCAAGATTGACGGCTTCAAGTACGGTCCTGCTGAGGACCTCCACTTCACCTTGAGCTACGGCTCTGGGGAGCGAGTGTCTGGCCCTATGGGTTTCAGCGACATCGGGGTGGCCGGCATTACCGTTCAGCAGCAACAGGTCGGCCTCGCCAACAAGACGTACTGGATGGGCAACAACTACACGAACGGCATCCTCGGACTGGCCTTCTCCTCCCTTACCAGCGCCTTCATGGGCGATATGGACGAGGACCGCCCTGCCTTCCAAGTCCCGTACTCTCCCTTCTTCACCAGCATGGTCCAGCAGGGGCTGTCTGCCGATTCCTTTAGCGTCTCTCTTGTCCGCAACTCCAGCGGCCTTGTCGCGTGGGGTGGCCGCACCGGTCTGCCAGTCGACGGTCCCACAGCGTACACCAGCCTCATCATTGTGAGTTTCCATGCGAGTTTCCATGCCCTTTCCATTCATTTGCCTGGCGCTAGCTGACGAGCGAAAGACCACCATCAATCCGCATCGACCCACAGGCAGCTGGCAGTACTCATACTACACTGTCCTTGTCGACGGCATCCGCTGGGGATCGACCTCGGACACGAGAAGGTTCCTCTACCTTGTCGACACTGGGACTACGCTCATGTACGTGCCTCCGCCTATTGCCGAAGCCATCGCCCGGTCCTTCTCCCCCAGCGCCGTCTACCTGTTCCAATACGGCGGATATTTTGCTCCTTGCCATGCAATCGCTCCCAAGATTGCTGTCGTCATCGAGGGAGCAAGCTTCTTCATCAATCCCGTGGACCTTATATACCCCGGCCTTGTTGACCCACTCACGGGATATTGCCAGATTGGTATCACTACGGGCGGCACGGGGCCGTATATTCTCGGTACCGTCTTCTTGCACAATGTCGAAGCCTATTTCGACGTTGGGGCCGGTCAGATGCGTTTCTATGGGCGAGATACGTTTGGACCAACGCCTCAGCTGCCCGAGAAGTAGATGATGACCGGTCTGTTGGTCGTGTATAAGGGACTCGTGCCCACCAAAGCGGACACCGATGTGACAGGCAACTGATTTGCTGGGAAGTATCACTGGGTCAAGATGACCGGAAAACATTTGTTTCGCCAGACAGAGAGAGAAAGGGGGGTTGTTAGCTGTGAGATAGGGTTCTGTGTAATGAAGGCCGCCTGGCTCATGCTTTCGTTGACAGCTCAACTCAGTCTGCTACCACAAAGTCTGAGCCAAAGCTTGATCGCCAACCTCCTGACAGACGCCTAGGCAGTTGTGCCTTGCCATCAAGTTCCAGGGTGCGTCAAACCAGATGAAGTGGTTTTGGAGGTTTAGCTCCACAGTGGACGCCGCTGAAACCAATGCTTCAGTCGGGACTTATCGGAAGTGGCAATGGCGGAGGGTCCTATCCCACTTTGGCTAGGGTACTGCTGCTGCTGCTGCGGCTGCTGCTCGTCGGGTGCTTATCGATAAGGATTCTTCTGCTGTGACTTACGGTGACCTACCTCACTCACCCTTACTGATGGCTCAATCGTTTCTGCCACTTGAATCGATAGGACTCGCGATTCAAGCCCTTCACACCCCTCTCTTTCTCTCTTTTCTCTCTCTCACTCTCGCCAACTCACCTCAAAGCGTCGCTCTTACCATCGGGAGCAGTCATACCTTTCTGTTTTTGAACCCGTATTCTCTCATCCCGTCTCCCAGCGCCGTCTCCGTTGCTACGATCTCTTCGCGTCGCCCCCCCAGTTCGGCAGTCGCTGTACCGATCTTCCGCTCCCCTCCGATACCCCCCGTGCTCGGCAACGCCTTAGCAAGGAAGAAAGACAAAGAGAAGATAGAAGCAGTATCTCTTCAAACCGTACCAAGTCACCGAATAAATTCTCGGCGACTGCGAAGTACAGCCTTCCCTCGGTTCAAACGCATCCATCATGGGCATCGGAGTAATCCCGGCAGGCGCTGAGGACGCCAAGCGCCCGCCTCGGAGACAGCACACCTGGAGCTTTAGCAAGGTACGGACGAACGTGTTTCCTTTCCCTCTGACCGAGTGTGTGTGTGTGTGTGTGTGCCTTATCATGACGTTTTCTTTTGATCGTTGCGATTTGTACTTTTGCCGGCCAGTCTGCGTTGCCGCAGCAGTGCTTTGCAGCCTGCCGCTTGGCTTGCAGGGTTGCGGGCCATCGTCAAGTGACTTGATTTTTCTTCCTCCTTTTCGCACCCAATCGGTTCCGTGCTTGTTGGTCTCTGGCGGTGTGAATAATCACGCAGGGGTGTCGGTCAGTACCACACCTGGGGCTCGATGCGATCTGGCAACGGTGCCGGTTTGCTGGTTCCGAGAGTCCAGACGCCTGGACTTGCTGGTTTGGTGCCGGGCTTTGGCTGTAACAAAAGAAGAAAAAAAGCGAATTCCCCCCCCCTGCCATCTCGAGAGAGTTTCTTAGCAAGTGCAGCGGCAGTCCACTCCGCGTTCAAGGTCAGAAGACTTTTTCCCGGGTGATTTCCCTAACCCCTGGCAGCCTCCGTGGGGGTCGGGGTCAGCTGCTAGTGGGCGTTGACCTTGTTCATGTTCATGGAGAGCTATGAGAGGCCTGGGAGGCAAAACGAGAAATGGGTCAAGATTCCGTTTTTTTCTTCTTCTTTTTTCTTCACGTTGTGAGAAATCAGAAAAAGTTGTGTCGCGTTGCGGTCTCGAAGACATTGCTTCGTGGGCGATGAATAAGTCGGCAACTTGGTATGTTGAAGGATTTCAGTAGCCGGAAATGGCCGGAAGGACGACGGGCATTGGCCGGGAGCGAATGCGAATGACACAGCTGTCGCGAACGGGGGAAAGGAATGCACGCGAGCTCCTAACTTATGTCTCTGACAACGAGTGTGGCTTTGGGATTTGGAACTCCATTGCATTCCTCGGCAACGAGAGGGGTTTGCGCTTGCGCCGTCGTCATTGGGAGAGGTAGTTCACCAATTCCGATGTTTGATGTGACGGGTCCGGCTATGGCTGGCGAGTCAGATTGGAGTCTTTTTTTGGCGTGGGCTGATGCCCACCTACCGTACCTCGGTTGTGCTCGGTGAGAGCCACGAGCTTGGAGGTGGGCATCGGAGCAGAGAGCTGGCTGGCAAGCTCTGCAAAAGGATTCGGATGCACGATGTCCCCCATCAATGCGGGGATGGACGTGGCATTGGAGCTGGACCTTTGCAGCCAAACCTTTCTCTCTCTGGCTAGGCTGAACCGGACCAGGGGCTCGGGGGGAAGGCGGGCACACGACACGAAAATGAGGGGCATCGAATGGGGAGGATTGGAGTTGGGATGGGGTCGTGGAGGGGTGGACAGGCTTGATTTGACCTGACCTGACCTGACCTGACCTGACCTGGCTGACGACGGATGAGGAGCTGAGAGAGAAGGCGACCGGACTCTGCCATTCCACGCAATGCTGTGCCGAGCCAAGTCCCTGGCCCTCGGCGCATGCACCCGTCATCCACGAGCCGCCCACTGGGGAAGAGCCGTGGCGTTTGTGGGTGTGGATGTGCGTTACGGACCAGCGGACAGGAAGTCAAGAGTAACGAGATGACTTTTTATTGGCTTTCATGATCGAACTGCGATCGGACTTGGGCGAAGCTTCCCGGAATGGGCCAATTGTCATGCCAATTGCATCGCCAATGGTCGACTCAACGCGCGCATGTGTCGAATGCTCTGAAGGCCGCGTCAACGTTGTTAGCCGGTGCGCACGAGTTTCGTCAGTTTGTTTTCCTGCAAGCGGGTTCGATATCCGAGTCGAGTTGGGTCCGCCTGGCCTGGATGGATGTGAGATGAGCTAGTCGCTTGTTTTCTGTCTGTCGACTCACCGTTGCAGCAGCTGGTCTTGGTGTTCTTGAGAGCTATAGCACCTTCGACCAAGTCCAGCTTGGCTATCACCACCACTTTGGACATGTGCTTTCTGCCCTTTGCTGGTGGCCAAGTTGGCTCCGAGCTACCTATTCTGTTTTGTTCCTCGGGATGCTCTCTCGGCGTCCTTTCTTCCCCTCCCCCTTCCCTCTCCCCTTTTACGTACGTTTTACCTACCTTTCTCTCAATCCTCTTCGCACATTTGTAGCGTCGTGCACGCTACTCACCCTCTCATTGCTCTATATTACCTCCACTTTCACCTTGGCCTCAGTTCAGACAACGTCACATTGCTGCTCTTCTCCTCATACATCACCCCCCAAAAACCTGTGCAACCACGGAGGCAACCTGCATCTTCTTACACCTACACACCTACACATACATATACAAATACCAAACACATGCACATGCAAACAGCCCTTACTCACCTGTTTTTGCAACCTACCGGCCCGCTGCCCCATTGATACCAACCCCTGCTAGTAGCTCTTTCACAGGGTCTGCCCGAGCCTTGTCTTGGTGGTTCTGTGGTGGAGAGAGTACATCCACCCCGGCCCCCAAGTCACCGCACCCGCCCCCAAAAGTCAACACCCGAAGGGGTCCCGCCTTTTTGGGCATAGAACTATTGCCACGGCCGGGAGCATCACGCGAGCAGTCTGCCTTCCACCACGATTTCCCCTGTCTTGCCACTCAACCAGGCCCTCTTCTTTTCTCATGGGCGCCTCGCCTGTTTTGCTCCCCTTCTTCTTTTTTTGTCTCGGCGTAGCAACTTCCACCCAACACACCAAACAACCAAGACTACCTACCCCCATCAAAGATGCCTGCCAAGACTAACGGTGTGGGCGTCCAGGTGGAGGATACCAAGATATGTGTCGTCATGGTCGGCCTGCCCGCTCGGGGCAAGAGCTTCATTGCTCAAAAAGGTGAGTAATAAACCCAGGCTTAGGCTTCCCCTTGGGACCTTGGTACGCGGACCCCGCGTCTTTTGCAGAGCGCTTTGCGCGTCAAAAACAGCGAGGGTTCAACGCTGACTCGTTCTCATCAGCGCAACGCTATCTCGGCTGGCTCTCGATCAAGGCCAAGACCTTCAACGTCGGCAGCTACCGTCGCAAGGAGGACGCCCACCCCTCGGCGGACTTCTTTGACATCCACAACACCGAAGGTGAGCGCAGACGTCGCGCCGCCGCCGAAAAGGCCATCGAGGACATGCTGGCTTGGTTCCGCCAAGGCGGTGTCATTGGCATCCTGGATGCCACGAACTCTACCAAGGAGCGCCGCAAGTGGGTTCTCGACATCTGCACCAGGGAGGGCGTCGAGGTTCTCTTCGTTGAGAGCAAGTGCGACGACGAGAACCTCATCATGGCCAACATCCGGGACGTCAAGACCACTTCGCCCGACTACGAGGGCCAGGACCCCGAGGAGGCTGCCCTCGACTTCCGCAACCGCATCCGCAACTACGAAAAGGTCTACAAGACGCTCGACGAGGACGGTGACGAGAACGAGTACACCTACCTCAAGATCATGGACGTCGGCAAGCAGGTCATCATCAACCGCATCCAAGACTACCTCCAGAGTCGCGTCGTATACTACCTTATGAACCTCCACATCCGGCCTCGCTCCATTTGGCTGTCGAGAGTAAGTGCTTGCTGTGTATTTTCCGTTGACGAGCCTGTCTGCTAACACTGAACAGCACGGAGAGTCCATGTACAACCTGGATGGTCGCATTGGCGGCGACACCACGCTTTCTCCCCGCGGCGAGCAGTACGCCCGAAAGCTTCCGGAGCTCGTCCGCAAGTCGGTCGGTGTAAGTTGCTCCTTCGTCTGATTTCCACCTGCCGCCTGCTGACAAAGACCGCAGGATGACCGCCCCCTGACTGTCTGGACCTCTACGCTCAAGCGGACCATTGCCACTGCTCGCTTCCTCCCCTCTGATTACAACCAGCTGCAGTGGAAGGCGCTCGACGAGCTCGACTCTGGCGTCTGCGACGGCCTTACCTACCAGGAAATCAAGGATCATTTCCCGGAGGACTTTGCCGCTCGCGACGAGGACAAGTACAACTACCGCTACCGCGGCGGTGAGTCGTACCGCGATGTGGTCATCCGTCTGGAGCCCATCATCATGGAGCTGGAGCGCAGCGAGGACATCCTCATCGTCACCCACCAGGCCGTGCTGCGCTGCATCTACGCCTACTTCATGAACAAGAACCAGACCGACAGCCCTTGGATGAACGTGCCGCTACACACGCTCATCAAGCTCACCCCTCGCGCCTACGGAACCGAAGAGGTGCGCTACGAAGCCAACATCCCGGCAGTCAGCACCTGGCGCGGCAAGGGCTCCACTGCCAAGCACGAGAACCCGGTAGCGGAGTGTATGTGAAGATCTCTGGCTCAGAGTGGTGATTTGACGAGGAACGACTTGCTGAATGGCAGTCTAGGAACTTGAGGAAACGCGGAACGCGACGCACCGGTCACAAAACGCTGGAAAACCACCAGCTCAGGAAGAATTTCCTTTTCTCTTTGACGACGATCAATGTTTCCAAACCCCACTTCTTTCGGCATTTTCATACCAGTTTAACAACGGCGGCGTTCAGGACGACATAAAAACTTGTTGATACGCACACAGGGGCTACTAGGCGACAAAACGCGGGGGGGTGAGGGATGATGGCATATCAAGATGGGCATGTCCAACATCCATTCTCGATGAAACTACAAACTTGTTCCTCGTTTTGCGGGATCAGCCAATCAACAAAGGCACCACGGATACTCGCTCCAGAGTTCCGCAGTCCTATCGCGATCCTGATCCGGCATTCACATTGCTTTGCTTCGCTCTTGCATTAGGGTCTTGTGATAACCCTTGGGACAATTTGGGATTTGACACCACACCACATAGGGCAGTAGGGTACAAAAATGCATTCCAAGATTGAGGCGGTAGCATGCACAACCGTACACTGGAACAAAGGTTCGGGACGGGACGAGGGGGGCTGTCGTGACATGACAGAGGGACAAATTCCCTAGGTTCTCCCTTATGACGACCTAACTCGTTTGCTGTTTGTGAGGGGCGTGCGTGTGCTGTAGGTACTGACGATTCTTTCGACCGTTGCATGCCTGTAATCGAGTAGAGGGGGGTTCGCGCCCAACATGAGAGTCATCCGTTCATACTTACCATGTTGCTCTATTTCTGGCGTATGCACCAGAATTAGAATGTCAGTTTTTCTTCTAAGGCCATGATTGTATTCCAAACAGTCATGTGAGTCTGGCCTCTTCAAATTTTTTGCCATGAGATCGGAACAGCCTCGACACACCGGGAGGGGTTTGATGATGATGCTCTTTTTGGTTAGCCAAGGGCCGGGAAGGACAGACAGATGCCAAGGTTTCAAATTAGGAACTATTCTTGATATATCAATATCACCGTCAGTCAAGATCTGTTTGTCCCAAGACTTGAGGTCTAGGCATGAATACTGACCAGGACATGCATGCAGCCAACGTATCAGCGCCTAAAGGTCTTCG